GCATGAAGTATTTGGCTTGGTGTAATTTTATTTATAAATCTGGTTTCCACTAGCATTGTTGGAGACCAATTTCACTACAAAAATCTAGATTTCGAAATTCTCCTGATACGTATCAAGGATTTGCCATGGTGTAACTTTGTTTACAAATCTGTATTCCCCTAACTTTGTTGGAGTATCTGGACGATAATTAGATTTGGGACTTGTGCACACGCCACGTCAGCAAAAAAATTGATTATCCGAGCTTTGTGTGCTTGTTATTTAGCTGGAGAAACTTTTAATGACCGAGATTCTCTCATCTGGAACCTGAACGGACTCTGATTTGAAACAAAAAAAGCACAGACATTTCTTGACAGTCAAAATCACGAAAGATGACTATTACGTCATACCATAAATTGTACCGAAGTAATCAATGGACATCGATGATAAAATCACAATCTCATGAATTTATATTATGATTTTGCGAAGTTAGGTTATTTCACTGATTATTTTTGTTTTCATTTTATTTGATGGTTTTAAGAGATACCGTAATAATAAGTTTAGTGGGAAGTTTTTGTTTTGAAGAAACAGTTATGAGTGAATACACCTTAAGACATTAACACCAAAGACCAAATTATTATTCAAAAACAACGTAACCTGGTTTAACATAACCTTACTATTCATCTTTCAAATATGATCGATCATGCAACATGAAAACTTCGTCTATCTTTGTCGGATACATGCAAATTAGCAATACAGTTCGTTTAGACAATAAAAATCTGTTTGTCTCTGTCTAACATATTTGAAACTTCATTAAAAATATTCACAAATCGCTGAGGTTTGTCTTTACTACAGACTAAAATGATGACGTAATCTTCATCTTTCGTGATTTCGACTATATGTCCCCCAAGCAGCACAAGTCATACTAAATCTGACACTTGATTGCTTTTATGACAAAATTGTACATATTATGACTAAACTGACTTAGGCACAGTGAAACGAACAGGCATGGGGAGGTAGCGTTTTGTCAAGAGAATAGGTTTTTCGGTGGTTAAAGGTATTTTCAGAAGGGAGGAAGGAATGGCTTCGTGTTCAAAGTTGCAATGAAGTTTTTTTCCGGTGCCGTGGATTGCGTACTTTCTGACCTCCCCTCGTATTCACGTTTATTCGAAGACGTTAAATTTTAGATTAATCATTAATTATAGTTCTGGTATTCTGAAATCGGGATAGTGCCCTATTCTGTATATTGTCTTGTCTCCTATAAAGAGTCTCGAATCCTCAAGCATGATGTTTTTATGACATACGTCAGTCGTTTTTGTTGCCATGTGTTACACACAGGAATAGACAGAAAATTATATCTTTCGTTTTCCGTATTAGAATGTATACTGTGACATATAAATCCGAACACCCAGTTTAAATGGTTTTATTTTAATAAAAGTTGGTGAATGTATTTATCTTACTGTAAATAACAAGTGAAAAAATTTTCAGCCTTATCAGTTGGACATTTCGGTTTTTATACGGCTTTTTTTAATTCACTAACGCTCTAGAAATGAATATTTCAGCCGCAGTAAAGAATCAACGTTGGCGGATTTTGGTTCTTGACATCCTTTACGATCTGTTACGATGCCTAGAGTACGGAGACCTGTACGATTTCGTCAACTTAGTGAGTTTGATAGGGGCCGTATAGTAGGACTTCGGAAAGCTGGACTTTCTTTTCGGGCAAGTGCAGTTAGAGTGCAAAGAAGTGTAGACACTGTGGTTAGGTGTTGTCAGGCATGGCTTCGAGAAGGCCGTACGCAAAGAGCAAGGGGCACTGGACGCCACCGTAGAACAACAGACCGTGAACATCGCCGCCTAAGATTATTGGCGTTTCTCCACTATCAGGTCCATTGCAAATGAATGGTTTGCAGAACACGGAAAACCTATTGGCATGCGAAGTGTTTACCGTCGAATGAGAAGCTTTGGCTTGTTTTCATACCGGCCACACTGGGTCCTCCCTTGAACTCGAGAACACCGACGTAATCGCCTTGAAGGGTGCAGACAACGGTCACTCTGGGATCAGGAATGGAACAGTATTGTCTTTAGTGACGAGTCTCGATTTTGTTTAGGCATGCGCGATGGTCGTGCCAGGGTTAGAAGGCGACGTGGTGAAAGGAGGAATCCACAGTTTTTTGTTGAAAGACATGTTCATCACACTGTTGGAGTTATGGTTTGGGGTGCTATAGCTTATGGTTCCAGGTCACCTTTAATCTTCATCAGAGGTGACATGAACGCGCAGCGTTATATCCACGAAGTTCTAGAACCCCATCTTTTACCCTATCTTGACACCCTGGCAGATCCAACTTTCCAACAAGATAATGCCCGACCACATGTTGCAAGAGTCACAATAGACTTCTTTCAACATAATGATGTCACATTGTTACCATGGCCACCAAAATCTCCCGACGTATCCCCAATTGAGCACGTGTGGGATATGATGGGTAGGAGATTGCTCAATTTGCAACGTCCTCCTCAGACTCTAGAAGCACTGCGAGAGGAGTTGGTGGTTGCCTGGAATGAGATACCACAGGAGGACATTGACCACCTGATCATAAGCAGGCCTAGGCGCGTTGGAGAATGCGTAGCACATCAGGGTACATCCACACATTATTAAAGGTCAAAGGGCTTTAAAGCAGTGCAATCATTTTGAAATTTTTATCATTTACTTATTATGCTTCATTAAGTACTTATACAAAATTTTATTAAAATAAAACCATTTAAACTGGGTGTTCGGATTTATATGTCACTTAGTATAACTTGACATATCCCGACCGTGTATGAAGTGTATATATTTGCTGTTAACATACCAGGTTGTGTTGTAAGTCTTGCTTTTAGTGACAAATGCCGTTCTGCCTGAAGTAATTGATACAAAAAGAGCAGTAGTAGAAGTAGAGTAAGTATCTCGAGTCAGACCCTTTGAGTGTTGTCTCCACACTCTAAACAGGAGGCTGGCGCCCGAGGAGTTACTGAACTAGAGAGGCAGGTAGTTCGCCAGTTATTGACCCCGAGGAAATAGCGTTACAAGATCAAGAACAACTGAGTGTTACATTACGTTAATGCTCCTGGACAAACCGTCAACGCCAAGTTTCACGTGGAAGTACTCAGGAGACTCCAACGAAGGGTCAGTCGGGTCCGACAAGACATCGCAGCCGACTGGAAGTTTCACCACGACAACGGCCCGTCTCACACCGCCTTTCTTGTGAACAGCTACCTGACCAAGGCCGGCATCCCAACGCTTCCGCAGCCACCCTACAGCCCAGATGTGCCCCCCCCCCCGGACTTTTTTTTTGTTTCCTCGCCTGAAAAGGCCGATGAAAGGCAAGCATTTTGAGACGACAAAGAGGATCCAAGCAGCATGCACCGCGGCTGTCAAGGCTCTTCCGGAGGATGCCTTCAGTGACGCCTTCAATGCTTGGAAATCGCGCTGGCAGCGCTGCATCGACGCAGAAGGAGCCTATTTGGAAAGTTTTTAAAGAATTGTAACGATTGGCTCAATATTTTTTTTTAAATCGCTTCAGTCCTATTACTTTCCGGACAAACCCTGTACGTGCTCCTTCTGCATAAGCTCATTCCTGTCTCTTCACGCATCTCATGCTTAAACTATTACTACCTGTCTTCCTTCGTGGTTTGCATACTGACACGCACTCACACATTCCACACCAATCGTCAATCGGGACTCAGCCCTAAACTGTCGACTATAAATGGACCTTAACTGTTTGTTATAATGAATCCCTAAATTTCCGTGAAACGATCCTTACTTCCGTTTCCTCTTGATTCTTGCGCACACAGTAAAACAATAAATTCCCCATTCGGATCGGCGCGGTCGGACAGAACGTTATATTTCCACTCCGGTTCCCGAACGAACTTTCACAAGAATGATGGTTTCACTTTCTACGGTAAATAAACTCCCTTTCTGTTTGAAGGAAATTACAACGAAGTGTTTCCCCTATTGTCTCTCAAGAATCTGTAAACAACGTGCTTATGACGTCGAGCTTACAAAGAATCTCCAATGGGATGTACTATATTGATCTTCTGGTGTACCCCAGCGGAAAAGAGATATACCTTATCAGGATTTAAATCTGTGAGGGCGTCGGATTTGTGGAATTATTGTCTTTAAGAAGCTTGCTCACATGTGACATATACCGTAAGGTCGGGGTACTTTGTCCCAAAATAATGATATTTTTTATTGCCCTTACAACTACTTCAGTTTTAAAGATGCTATGTTTGTGTTATTTAGACAAATGTTTAGTAGGGATATAAGTAACACATTTATAGTCTAAAAACGCTGATATAACTTCGGGGTTAGACATAATTTTTTTTTTAAGTTAGGGCCAAAGTTTTACTTAAGAGATGGTTTCTTTGACCCACTTGGTTTTTAAGTATTACAACGTATTGATATTTAATGGTGGAACAAAGTAAACAGTTTATATCGACAAATATGAAAGAAATACATATTATATTATTGTTAGGCACTTTTTATTGCACAAAAAAACTAAAAAAAGTCACAAAAATTAAAAATATTTCCAGCACATGACTTTTTCTTATTTATTTTAACAAAATCAGGCAGTCTTCTCTCTTATTACGAAATACATTTACTAGAAGTACCTCAATACTAAAAATAAAAACAAAACATCTCTCAGTTATTACAATAGTGACGTAAACAAGAGATAGGAACTTAACAGTCTAGAGTTGCTCATCAGTCTTCAAAATTGAGAATCTTGTCAAGACATATTCAAATTAATCAATTAAATTATGGCTTAATTTTTAAAGAACGTATTTTATCAAGTTCAGGTACAGTAAACTGTCCATTTTTCACGAATTTTGGTATTCCAATTTTCGTTATCACTGACTCCCAATAATTGCTCATCTTTTATGTTAAGCCATCTCCAGAACTTTCCTTTTTTCATACAACTTATTAGCGCTCCTTCTGCAGATATCGATATAATTTTCCCTGGATAAACACGTGAATTCCACTTAACCAATACATGATCATTGATACAGTAACCATCGCCATTTTGATATTCCTCTTCCGCTTTTTGTACATCATCTGGATTAATTTTATTTGGCAGAGGCGGCCCTTCTTTATTTTCGTCTTCATTACTGCAACTTTGACCGTCAGACTTCGAACAGTTTCTTGAAAGCGGATCTTCAATAAACCTTGTGTTGCAATCCGGAGGAATGGGCTCTGGTAGCTGAGTTGATGGCCCAAGCGCCTCCAGATTTCCATCATAGTTGCTTCTGGGATTGCGATTTGTAAGCTGTGCTAGGCGTAAGTTGTCCTCTTCATCATCAGATTGATCTCGTGCCAGAATGAGATCTTCAGTAGAAGATGCCAAACTTATGTCTGTGTCACTGCATTCTGAAGAGGAAACCTCACTAATAAATCGCTTCCTGGACTTTGCATTTTTCTTAGGATCTGATCTATTTACTCCTGAAGAACTAGCTTGTTCTTTGTCTGAAATATCTTCTGAGCGAATGGATCGACCAGCAGGTACATCTAGCTTTTTCTTCTTGCCTTGATTCTTTCGGTTTGGGCTATCGTTACTCCGTAATTGCTTCAGATCTTGCATAAAAGCGCCGGAAATTAGATTGAGATCTACAATTCTGTCTTGCCTTGGCAATCTACTCAAAGGTTCTTCTACGTTCTGAGGATAAATGCCAGTTTTCCTGAACCCGTTTACGAGATAACTTTGGGTTTCTTTCATGCTATCCAGTGCAGTTTTTAGTAGTCTAGGAAATTGATCCTTCGGCACGGTTGGAAGTCTTCTTCCTTCTGGGGTATTTTTCCAATCTAGCAACACTTGGTGCCAATCTTCAATGGCCTGAAATATGCCACAAAACATGACTGAAAAACTTACTTTTGTAGCATTTACAATCATTTCAGAATACTGTGTGCCACGTCTACAAATTACTTTCTTTTTTCCGAGGTCATCGGTAAGGCTACTTTCATCGTAGTTGTAGATATTCTCTGGTGGATATTGTCTAACTTTACAGTCAAATTTTCAACAAACTGTTCAATAATTGGCTCTGAAATTGCTGCTCTTACTTTTTTAATATTGTTTATTGTCTAGACAGAATCTTGTTTTGCTTGAGAAATCCTCCGACCCACTCGGTGCCAGGTATGTTTTTATTAAACTGTTTTACCTGTCTTCCACGAGCTGACAAGTAGTCTTTGATAATAATTTTGAGGTCAATATCTGTTATCGGAAACCCAAATTCTGAGAGCGCTGTAACATGGGCAACAAATGCTTGTTCTTCTTCTGTTGTGAATATAGTTGAATGGCCGGGTTTGTTACAGTGCTTATTCTTCAGTTTATTCTTTATCGTACTACGAGGAATTTTATACTTAGCTGCAGCAGCCCGTTGAGTCCGTATTTTGGATCTCACGTCATTTAAACATTGCTCCAACTGCTCTTTAGTGTAGTCAATGTAACGACGATTTCCCGCTTTCCTTCTATAGATGTTAGGCATCTTTGTGTATCTAAAAGGTCAAAAGTAACGCATTATTCCGATTGAATCGCTTAATATAGCTGGTTATGTAAAAATATAATGAAAAATCATTATAAGGATACTTTGGCCCATGGGCCAGAGATACTCGAAAGCGTGGGCCAAAATATATGAATATATTCTGCACAAAAATTACTTTTACCGTTTGTCTCGTATTCCAACATCATCTCAGATGTATATCTGATACATTTGATCACGTAAAAGAACTGCAACTTACCTGATAACTTGGTTTCATGAGAAAGTTTACACACAAAAAATTCACGTGTTCTGCAGATAGATACTTGTTGTCCTAACCTCAAATCTACGCATGCGCTGTGAGCCCCAGACAATGTGCTACCAATATCACTATAGAGTCATCTATCGATTACTAGGCGAACTACATCGATACGTCGCAATGAGCTGGCATGGCAGAAAGCGAAAACTTTTTAACAGTTTTGGGCTTAAGTAGCACCGTAGGGCTAAAGTACCCCGATCTGACGGTACTCACACTGAAAACTTTGAGCTTGTTCAGCGTCCTATACTGCACATTGTAGCATAAAGGAAGGCATGGAAGATAGGAGCTCATACAGGGAAAACCAAAGTTCGCTGACGGATTGACTTCAATGCGAGAGAGATTGGGGAGAAGTCTGTATCAACACATGTTAGAAAGAGATAGATAGCCGGCTGGAGAGCGGAGGTCATCACCACATTGCCTAGCAACAGTGACGCAGAAGGCCGTGCAGCCTGCCGCGTCGCCAATAGTATACCAACAGAACGGCTCTGCATTGTGTTCCAACCCGTTTTGAGATCGATTTGGGTCGGTTTTGTTACGGCGATATCGGTACCTGCACTGGAGCGAGAACTGAAGGAACTGACATGCGCGGAAGAGCTACTGTCAGGTGATTTCTTCTAAGCCTGACCTCCAAACCTCCTTGCTCGGATAGTGATTGAACGTTTGTGTTCTGTTTTCAAAGAAAAAGATAATGATTCGACAATTTTCATCGCAATGAGTAGTGACGACGAAGGGGACATCGATATTGAATTGTTTGCAGGTGGAAATTTTGATCAAACGTTACACCCAAGATATTTAATTTTTATTTTAATTCCAAATTACCGTCTAATAAGTTAATGTTAGATTTAACTTTATCTAAGCCATGTCATACTTCAAGAGGATCAAGTGTAAACAACATTGTCGCTAAATAAGCGAATTAAATAGAAAATCCAAAGCTCCTCATAGCTATGCCGAAAAATTGGTAGATCAGGCAACATTGGCTATCCTGTCAATTTCGAGGCATAACGTTTTGTTTTGTTTTGATTCCGAATCCCATCCAACACCTTTTACAGTTCAGAAACGATTCTAGAACCACGACAGGCCGCGCATGCGTGTAACAGGGTACCTCACGAAGAACTTGAGTTGACGGCCAACTCAATATTAGAAAAGTTTCAGTCTTGGGTAACGAAAAATGAGTTAATAGTTAATGAAAGCAAAACCAAATATAAAGGGTTGTCCAATAGGGACGCAGGAAAGTAAACGTCAATTTGACATAGACGCCATCTTTGTTTTCTGTCACCGACATGTCATTTTGTTAGTTGAATGTTTACCATTGATCGCTATGGAGTCGTATTTGATTGAAGGCCGCATTAAAGTTATTCAAGAGCACTACAAAAATGGTGCAAAAATAAAAAACACGTTTCGCGCGCTCCGTGAACATTTCGGTCGCAACAACCGCCCAAACGAAACAACCATCGGTCGCCTGGTGCGTAAATTCGAGGCAACAGGTTCTGTGGCAAATCTGCCAGGCTCTGGCCAGCCAAGGAGCGTTCGCACACCGGAAAATATTGCTGTTGTGAAGGAGTGTGTGAGAGACGATCCGAAACAATCAACAACGCGTCGATCCCAAGAATTGGGCATTTCGAGAACCAGTTTGCTCCGCATTCTCCACAAGGATTTGAATGTACACGCCTACAAGATCCAATTGACGCAAGAGCTGCGTCAGGCCGACCATTTTTCGCGTCGAACGTTCTCAGATTGGCTCCTTGAACACCGCCAAATTGATGCCAATTTTTCATCAAAAATCATGTTCAGCGACGAAGCGCATTTCACTTTGAATGGGACGGTAAACAAGCAAAACTGCCGCATCTGGGCGAACGAAAATCCCCGTGAGTATCAAGAGCAGCCGATGCATCCTCAAAAAGTGACTGTGTGGTGTGCATTGTGGTCAAAAGGCATCATCGGACCTTATTTTTTCGAGAATGCGGACTATTTTTTGCCGCAACTTGAAAGAATGGATATGGACGATGTTTATTTCCAACAAGACGGTGCAACATGCCACACAACCAACGTCAATATCCATCGATTGCAGTCCTTCTTCGGTGATCGCATGATTTCGCGCAGAGGAAATGTGCCATGGCCACCAAGATCGTGCGATTTGACTCCCTTGGACTTCTTTTTATAGGGATATTTGAAAAGCAAAGTCTACGTCAACAAACCAGCCACCCGCGAGTCTGACATGAATACAAGTTTATTATTATTATTTACCGAAGTATTGCTGCAAGTGGCGCCCTCTAGAAATTTGGCCATGAAAAATAACGAATTCTTGTTTCTCTTACTAGAAAATCTCCCTCTACCGAGTTTTATGCCAAAATCTAAAATACTTTTCAGACATTACGGAAAAATAGAAAAGAAAATTGTATCTTTGACACCCTGTATATATTTTGGTCTGTAGTATCTCCAGTTGCGAGATTTTCCAACCAAAAGGAAAGGACGTAACTGGTCCTTGATATTTATGATCTTACTATCTGAGGAAACAAATCGCTGTCGATCCTTGAGGAATGATGCTATCCAAGACAAAACATTACCCCTAATGCCATATCATGCCACTTTATCCAACAAAGTTTTATGATCTGCACAGTCAAATGACTTGGAAACGTTACAAAAAATACCCAACTGGACATTCTCCGTTTAAAATACAATCAATCAGCTAGCAGGAACTATGTAACTTCAGTGGATGAGCGTCGAGGGCTTAACATAAGGCTAAACCCTAGTATAGAGGGCGCTGCACGTCGACGTTCACCGGCAAACACGCTCACAATTAGTATCGGAAGCGCTGGCAGCCATTAATATCAATTAATGTTGCAGGGCGAGTGTCATCTAATGGAGACGTGCCCCTAGGCCCCTACGTGCTCTCATACATATAGGGCTCTATTGTAATTTGCCTGAGAGCTCTTAATCCGACGGCAAATTGAACGCGATACCGGTAAGCGGGAGCCTGACTTCTCAAATTGCCCGAGAATACACCACTTGAACCAACTAGAACCAGTTGATTCTATCATTGTGGAAGCCAAATCTTAAGCTCTTTGTGGATATTAAGACCCAATATCGAAGCAGGAAGGTAGCTGAAAAATTAATTAGAGACTTTGACCCGGAACGAATGGAAGGCATCTTTCTGTATTTAAATGGGTTTGAGTTAACATGCAGATTTTTTAAAGAAGTGTCAGGTAGGTTGACTCTGCACTTCCCTCCCAACATCCATAAAGGAATATGTTCAGTACACACTAGACCATCTGAGAAAAAATCAGTCAAACAGGTGCTTATAACACTGGTGAACAAAATTAAAATTATTTTTCGTGACATGGACGAAACAAGGTGGTTATTATGTAAAAAATACCCAACAAGCTGGAAATAGCATTAGATGTTTTCTATCACCCACGGTTTTCTTGCAATAAGGCTTAAAATATAAGGATATGTGTGTAAGCGTACTAATAAACACTAGTATAAATATTAATCTCAGAATGTGTTTGTCGATGTTTTACGGCGATATGTTGCTCCTGAAGTACCTCATTTGCCTTGATACCGTGGAGGTGGAAACGTTCACCATGTTCATCACTCACCGCACCTAGATTTTACGGAAAAAATTCGAGATGAGAATCCAAAAAGTGAATTTTTAGAGACAGGTTACATCCCATTTTTTTATAAGCATTAATTAGTTCACTCACAATATCTTTATAATTTTCTGCCTTCTCATTGAATAAAAAATTTGCAGTAACTGATTTAAAAGCATTCCAAGCTCGTAATTCAGTTTCATTTAGTGCACTGTCAAATACATCATCCTTCATGATTTTCCATATTGGTGGACACACAAATATGCCCTCTTTAATTTTTGCCTCACTAATTCTCGGAAATGTTTGTTTTAAATATAGAAACCCTCTTCCGTTTCGATCCATTGCTTTCACAAAACGTTTCATCAGTCCCAACTTGATATCCCAAGGTGGTCATGAGCAATGTTTTTGAGGCATGGACTTAATACCTGACGTAGTGGCCACTCCTGTTCATAATGACGATCTCGCGCACGACTGTCCCATTCACAAAGAAAATAACAATGTTTGGTATATCCCAGTTGCATTCCAAGAAGAAGGGCTATTACCTTTAAATCTACACGTATGGCCCATCCATATTCATTATAACGGATGTGCTCGAACAGAACTCGCATATTTTCATATGATTCCTTCATATGGACTGCGTGCGCTATAGGTACAGATGGAAATGTATTACCGTTGTGAACCAATACCGCTTTTAAACTAAGCTGAAGGCTCCTCTACACGTTGGCCAATGCGTTGGCCAACATACTGGCCAATGTTTATTGACCAGCGTGGAGGGGATACTGTTGGTCGTATTGGCGCCATTGGCAGATCTGGTCCAAGAGTTGGCGACTGATCCGTCGTGGTGTCGGTTTAACGAGACGCATCAAAGGCGTTGGCCTTGGAACTGGCGGACGCTGGTATTCTCGTCCACACGTTGGGGATTCATTGGCCTAGTATGTGATCAGCTGTTGTAGTGCACGGGTGCTTTTGTTCTTTGTTGCTTAGAGTTTTTGTGACTGTTCATTGTGTATTTGATAGTACAAAATGGTGACGATGAGTAACGAAGAAGTTTCTCAATTCATAGAACTTTACCAGGCCGAAAACTGTATTTGTAATCCTGCTACACTCATGATC